TCTCGCCTTCCCCCCGCGCTTTATCTCCTCCTTCTGCCAGAGAAGTGGAGCAACTCCACCTCGCGTGCTAAAAAAAAAGAAATAAAAAAATAAAATAAACCCACAAACCCGAGCTCTGCAGGCGCCGCACGGCAGGAGCAAAGCCCTTGAGATGGTTAAAAACACCCCGCTAAATAATTCAAGTGACCTGAAATGCCTTTCTCTGGGGAAGAGAAGGGGAGGGCTGTGTTGGAGCCGCCAGGCTGGAAGCCTGGAGAGAGTGCTTGGATGCCGCTATTAAGCATGCAATCGTGATGGCTAAAAGCCACGGGCTTTATATGTATATAAATAAAAAATATATCTTTTTTTAATTACAGCTTTGGCAATTCCCAGCCAGTAAATAGCAGCTCGGAGCATAGGCCCGCAGCTGCAGAGCCAGCAGCCATGACCCGGTGAGACCACGGCGCTGGGTGCGGGCAGCCCGGCAGGGACCTCTAGGGAAGGGAAGTCCAGAGGAAAAAGGATGTGAGTTCTGCTGTTCTCCAGAAACCAAAAATTAAGCTTATTAAGGAGAGGAAATGTGTTTTATATTACTGTTTTACATTAGCCTCACATGTAGATATCTCTGAATGGAGAGACTTGCAAGCAGCCACAAAGTACTTCAAAATCTCTAAGTATATTTAGAAAATAACACCTCACCCGTCAGTGTTATGCAGCCATCTCTGGCATGGGATGTAACAGCTGTTTAACATAGACTAGCAACACTACAGTATCAAGCAAGACAAGGGGGTGAGGGCTGCCACACAGAGTTAAAATAATATCACAAGTTTACAGAGATAGCCGTTACAGAAGCTGAAATGAAATATACAGAAAGATTTCAGTTTCAAAGTACTTGGAGACTCAGTTTTACATTTCTTGATGGAAATGGTTTCTCCAGCATCCTCATATTAATTTTCGCAGCATCTTAAATTATGTTTCTGAAATTACTAGATCTCCTATACTAATGGGTTAAAAGGCCCTTTGGAGGTTTCTGTCCAAATACTGGGTAAACTCCTCTTGCTTTGACTGTGATTCATAGCCTGAAGTAAAACAGCTGCAGGGAATAATAGCAAACAGAAAGGAGAATTAGATGGTGTGAAGCAGTCTTTTCCATTTTTAAATGTAATGTTTATGTTTGGAGCTGGTGAATACTTGAGAAGGGAACCCAATTACCTTCCCAAACAATGTTGAAGTTTCTTTCAAAACAAAGACAGTGTTTTCTGCTGAGGGATTCATTTGTTTAAAATCAGTTAGCAGTGACACCTTCTGTTGCTTTTGGGAAAATAGTTTCTCCAGGTATTGAATTCTGTCTTTTTCTCTTTTTTTTAACATCCTATATTATTTAACACCAATATTTATAAAAATATTCAGTAATTGCAAAAGCTTATAATTCAGACAGAAAGATTAATTGTTCACTCCACTGGAACAGATATTTGGAAGATTCATTGTAAGGCTCAGAGCTAGGACTGATATCCTTATGCAATATCAAGACTACTGATAATAAATAGTGATAACTTTTTGATAACATATTATATTGCAAATGGTCCCTGAATGAAAGGGTAAACTAAGTATATTACTTAATCATTAGAAAAACCTTCCTTTTTCCACTTCTGCTGATGTTCTCTGCTGTATTTGCCTGTAGTTGTGCTCTTATTTTACCTCAGTGCATGTAATGCATACCAACTGTCTAGGTAAAGACAACAACAAATATACAAACACAGTTGTGGAAACTAGTGGAATCAGGAAGACAGAATTCTGTTATCAGATATCTTGAAGTAGAGAGAACTGCAGCCTCACAAAATGTTCTTCATAGCTCAATGGAAATTTTCCATTTCTATTTGAAGGAGCATTTATTCTTTGGATAATATGGCTTTGGTTAATAGCAGCATGTGTTTCATTGGTCCTTTGCTTCAGTAAAGTATCAGACTTTAACATTTCTTACTACCAGAAACCCTGAATGTACTTCTATGCTCTGCTAACTTAGGCAGATTGTTTCCTGTTGGTTGATGACAGTGCTGTGCCTCATGGAGTCAAGTGTCCCAAGTGAACTCTGGATGAAAAACAAACTCTTTAGCAGTACCAACAGAATCAGAATGCTTGTGCAATTAGGTCAATGCAATTTAGGAGTGATGTAGCTCTCCTTTATGACTGCAGCTGTTTAGCACTATTGCTCACCTCGTTCTAAAGCCGCAGTGATTTCAGAAAAGTCACTTGTTACAAGTAGCAGATTAAAATTAACGTTTTAATTTTAAAAGTGCAGCTTATTATTCTTGAAAAGAGCTGTAAGTTATTATAGTAAACACAGAATTATTTGCAGAAATATGTTTCTCAGTGATCTGATGCTGCTCTGAAGGATTGCCCTTCTTAAACAAAATAATCAGAGTTTATAAGTATCTGGGGGAAATGATATCCTCACAGACACAATGTAATTGCTTTTGAATCCGAGGTAAAATTTGCACGGATTGTAGTAGAAGTCAGATTGTTGTTAAGTGGGCCAAAAGATCATCTATGTTTCCCCATTATGTTTCCTACAATCTAATTAGAAGACAAATCAACCAGAACAAGGAAACAATGAGCCAAAATTTGGCTCCATCAGTAAGCAGGAGTGATATAATCCTTGCCTTATTAGTATCAATTCTTTTAATAGGCTCTGGAACAGGTGAGGGATTTAAAAGGGTACTTAAAATAGCACATTTACGCTGTTTGGCTCCATGTGCACTTCTGCAGGAGTAGTAATTGTTGGTTTAAGCAGTTCTACCTCAGCTAATTGTTCTCTTTCCTGCCCCACCCATTCTGATGTGTTCATGCAGCTGTTTGTGCAGATGTGAGGCAGAAGATCAAGTATAAAAACACTCTTTTCCATCAATTATTTTTCAGCCAAATCAATTCTCCAGTCTGGTTTATCAGAGGGCTGCACAAAATTCTGTGTTGGTCTCTTGGAGTGGCTACACAAAATTGAGAATTAATGGCTTTGGGCAGCTGAAGCGGTGCTGGTGAAAAATTAGAAGATGCAGCCTAAAGCAGCATTTCACATATTTATGGGGAAACTGTCAGAAATCACAGAAATACTTGAATTTTAAATAATAGGTAAAGAAAACCAGTCGAGGAAAGATAAAGGGCCTTGAATGGGAAGGAAATTCATTTATGCTTGGGACTGTAGAAAAGTCAGAGCCAAACAATGAAGGAAAGGGAAATATAAAGTCCTCTTTTCAAAATATAGAATATTCCACTTTCTGAGAACTGAAGGAAATATTATATTACAAATAATTCTGTAAAAAAAAATCCCTTCAAAAATGGAACTATATAAACAGCTAGCATGTCTATGGAGTTGTTAGTTACTATTCTAGAGAAAAGGCTGTACATACATCTTCCAAAATTAAATCTTATCTATCTTCCCATCCTAATGAGCTTTTTTTTGGGTGGGCCTGCCATAAAACTGGAAGATTAACATGCTAAAAATTCCTTTGGTCTGAAGAGTTTCCACCCATTGTAGAGCCAGTCTAGGCAACTCTTCCCTTGCTCTGCAGCCTACAAGGCATCAAGGGTGTAGCTGGAAAGAAAGTGGGTTTGCTTGTATTACTTTCTCACATTATTCCCAAACTGGTCTATCACACTCTTGAGGCTCATGTGAGTTTTCCTCAGTATATTCTGCTTAGACAGAATAGTTTCTGTTCTTCACTTACACTCAGTGCCTCAGCTGTCCCCAGGAGAAATTAGATGCAGCCCTGAATCTAGGCCAGAAAGTGTGCACAAAATCTTACAAAGCTAATGAAAGTTAACTTGCACATGTCTGAGAACAGCAATTGTTCCTACCATTTAGAGGCCATATCCTGCTATTGTTCTATATATCAAACTCCTATTGAAGTTTATTCTAAAAAATCTTGTACAAAAAATCATCTCCGGATGTGATAACAGCCAGCAGACAAAAGGTCCTCACATGTTTTTTTACTGGAATTCTGGTCCTGTGTCATATTTTGGACTATGTTATAATTTTACTGTACTGTGAATCCAATCTGTATTATTTTAAAATTCACATTGTTTTACAGGCATTTTTCACTCCAATGTGAATTTAGAGTTTGGTCCTGTTAAAACCATCTGAGCTTGCACTGTAACACTGGGCATTAGTTTGGGCATTAAAAAAATCCACAACAAAACAAACAAACAAACACCCCACTAAATAAACCCTCCAAAACAAACAAGTAAAGCAAACAATAACCATGCATTCTAAAGTGTTATTTGTCTAAGTAAATAATCTAGGACTGAACAGTTTCTGAACTAGAGATAAAAGCATTAAGTGTGTCAATGGAGTCAGAAAAATTATTTAATTAAAAACCTAAAGTTCAAAGCACTTGTAATAAATGGAAGGTGAGACTAGTAGAAGCTTTTTAATGGAATTCTTTTCAACTAATTCTATGAGCTGCAATGTTCCTCAAATATTATGTTAATACCATATCCTATCCTTCTCAATGTATTTTTCCATTGTACACTGATAAAAGGAGATGTAGCTTATGTAGCTGTATTCTCAATATGAATTCACCATGGCTGCATTGAGGTCAGTGAAGCTACAGTGATTTATGCTAGCTGATACATTAATAATAAGCCTTAGGATATATTTTTTGACATGGCTGTTTGTAGTTAGTCTCCTTCACAAAATGTTTGCCACTGCTGTGGAGAACCTTTTGTATTAATAGCATTTCTCAGTTCTGAAGAGTGAGAGCTTTAAGAATTGTAAGTTAATTAGAACAATATCAGTGTGTTTATCCAGTGCAGTTATACAGACACCACCAATGGACCTCAGCAGCAGTCAACTAGGGCACAACAATTGAGGTGCATTAGGAAAAAATATAATCATTAATTTCCAAGTGTATGAGTGGATTAGGAAGATAAAATGCATGGTGATGGTATGCTAAGAATTAAAATCTGATCAGGATTCCACAATTACAAGCCTGCTTATTCCTTTAGCCATCCCAAGGGGCCAGCACTTGATTTTGTATCTCATGTAAAAATACCAATATGAAACTTTCCTATAAATTTAGTTAATGCAAGGAGCAGCAATTTCAGAAAAGAGATGAATGTTAACAGTACCAATTTATTATTAATGATGTTAATTGATGAGGATGACAGAAATGCTCCAGTGTAAGGAAGCCAACAGGCATAAATTCTGATCTTCCTTTTGATATGAGACTATGTTGAACTTCCTTTTTCAGGTGCTATTTAATTTTCTCATGAAATGATTTTATTTCTTCTGGCTGCTGCTTTTGTTATCTTTTTGCACTTGTTATCTAGCTTTTGGTGTTAAGGAATTCCACCTCCATTCCTCTAATGTCCAGTTCTTAGCTCAGGTTCATGCTCCCTTGCTCTGGTATTTTACACAGTTCAGATAGCATTGAAGCTGTCATCTCTCTGTTCCTTTCAAAGAAATGAGATATACTGTTCTTTTCTCCAGAGACTGAAGAACTTTTTTCTTTAATCTTTGTGAGCAGGGAAAACTCAGCAAATCCTTCTGCTGCCCTTTATCATTTTCAGTTCTATAAAAGAATCTCTGAATCTTAAGATGGCCAAGGACTGCTTCCACTGTTCCAGGTGGAAACATCTAGTCACTTGATATTGGATGGGTTTAGTTTCTCCTAGTATAATATTTTAGCTGTTGTTTTGAAAGTGTGTTCATTAGCAGACTATTGCAGCTTCTAAAAATATGCAAGCAGGGCACTCAAGTATTTTTCCATCTTTGTTATTGTAATACATTGCTATTTATCAACTGTATTTTTTTTCCCTTTCTCCCTAGAATATCAGCCTTTTTTATACTCAATGCCTAAATTACTTCCCCTTATATCTTCAAGTTCTGATCTGTACATGTCACCCTGAATGATATGTTGATCCTCCTTTCTGTGACTGGTTTGATAAAATCACCACTTATGTCACTTTGTTGCACTTCTCTCTTTTTCTGTGCAAAGTAAAAACTGACAAATGCCAGTGTTTTGCCATAAAGGTGCTGATCCTTCAGCACTATGAACTGCTAAAACCACTGAATATATTGTCTTAAAAGAGACTTGCTGTAAATGGAGTGTTAGTTAAGAGCAGCTGTTACCCTCTGTGGCAAAAAGCCAGCAGGGCTCTGGAAAAGCCCTTGTCATTGCAGTTGTTCCTTTCCTCACTGGCACCCCCAGTGTGGCTGAGGCTCCCCCTCACCCCTATCTGCTTTCACTTATTCAGCCCTGCAAATTCTTCTTTTCTTTCAAGTGGGTAGGAAAAGCCAAACAACTCATGAGCACCAAATCCTAACTCTTGTATCTTTATCTTTATGGAGAGGACTTGCAATCCTGAACCCCAACTTCTGCAAGTTTCTGAATAAAATTGGATCTGTTGGAACTGGTAGAATTCAGTGCCTGACTTATTCATAGTTATATTTTCATTAGTTTTATTACTTTCTTTCTGTAGAATTCATGTTCTCCAATATATTTTCTCATTTCTTTCTGTTACAATAGTCAGTTTTCCTTTCAGACATGTATAAATCAAATTACTTCAGTGAGGTAAATAGAATTTCACTGTTACAGAATTATGAGTTCAAACCAAGCCTTTTAAACTGGTAGGTCCCCTTGTAAATTGATGAATGATTTCTCAGTTTCTACCTCTGTTTTCAAGGAAAGTGATATTTTCCTAGATCAATAGCCATCCCCACTGAACTTTATGTCTTCCCATTTTTCTTATCTCCCACATTTGTATTCTCACTCTAGGGAAGGGCCTTCAGGCTGCCTGCTGGTGGTGATAATTTCTGACATAGTTGTTTAATGTATAAAATAAACATATTGCATTAATTTTGAGTAAAAAGCAGCTGGTAAACATGCAAGCTTCAAAAGTGTTACCTCTCTTGTACACTTTTCCTTTCATTCACTAATTCTGATATTCCTTTTTCACATTATCCATATAACTCAGTCTGCCATTACAGCAAGTAGAAGTAGACCTTTTCTTTTTTAACATGGTCATTATTTAAATGAAGTAAAACATATTTTAGAAAATTAATACAAATACTATTTCTTAAACTATGAAGGAGGTCATAGCATTCAGGAAACACTGTTGCTTATTATGTTTCCTGCTAAATATTATAAAAGGTGAAGTTACAGTTTTCAACATCTGGAAATATCTGTGATAATCAAGACTTGTGTCTGAGCTTTGATTTGCATGTTTGTTTTTCTCAGTGGTTTCTTCATAGTTAATATTCTAATAATCTACTGAGTGCCAGAGATTGCACAATAATAACATATTTTGATTTAAATACCGTACATATGATTTGAGGAAACTAATATTTCCATTCCTAATACTAAAAAACATATCCTTGTTACTTCAAGTGGAAAAAAAGAGAACATCTCTCATTGTGTATTTTCGAGTAAATGTATAAGTTTTTGATCTACAGGCTCCAATTATAAATGGGATTCTGGGTTTATTACCATCTCCCTTGAAACTGCATCTCAATAATAATTCATTTGTTTTGATTAGCATTTCTGAAGAGCATTTCAAGATTGGAAGTATCCCTGTGACACAGTTGTTGAGACTGATCTGACTAGCACAGCATGTCAGATCTAAGGCACTGAAATATTTCAGGGCTATCTGTACATGGGGTAGGTCTTTCCAACTAATGCTCCATTTAGATTAGGGATATAGAAGAAATTTGAAAATAATTTAATAAAAAATCCAATGTGTTTAACTCTTAAAAAAATCACATAAGAATTTGAATTCTCTGTTTTTCTATTGCTTACTTTGTGGTTGTTTTCACAGATCAAAGTCCAGCTGTCCAGTGTCATCACATTCAGATTCTGCCATGACCTGTAAGTCTCTCACCTCTAAATTTTCTATTGCAATAGAAAAGCTGCCTGAAAACTGCTGTGGAATACTGAAATGTGTCTTTCAGTGAACTATCATTAAACAATAAATGTTGGATGTGGCTTGTCTTGTTATGCTAAATCCATGTAGTTCAGACATGTACACTTATGGTATAATACATCTGCTTTTTAAAATACCAGCTTATGATAATCTCATTCATTGCATTTTAAATGAAAGGTTCACAGCTTATCAAATCTACTTCTGTTTCTAGAGGTACCCTTACTCTAAAACTAGTTCTCTTTCTAGTTAAATCAGAATGAAAGTTATCAAAGGAAAATATTACATTTGCCCTTTGATGAACAATTACCAAGCATTACATGCTCAAAGTAAAAAATGGATAACATTTTATTTTATGAGTCCACTAACTAATAGTGAATTAGAATAAAACTCCCATGGGAACACATTTGACATTCACATGAATAACAAATGAGTTCATTATGATCCCCTGCTTATAAAAAATGGGAAATGAATTCATAATTATTAAGCATTTAAAAGTAACATTCCCCCAAAAGATAAAACCTTGTATTAAGTACCCAGCTGTGGTTCAGCTGCAGGGCTTTAAAGAACCTGAAATGAAGTGGTACCAGAAATGATTTGGTCATTTGCCACATTGTTTAACTGCTTGGTTGCCAAAATAATGAAGATTTGAAAGCTAGTTAATGCCTTTGAATTAATTCTGAAAGTTTGAGATTAATCTTGCTTCCAAAGCAGAGAATACAGATTAGATACATGGTGCATGAAAGGATTATGCTGGGTCTATGTATAAAGAGGAGGATTACAGCACATATGGCTGCTGACATGTACTCATGTTGTAAGTGCCTGTGGGCATCTCATTTGAAATATGTATTAGAGTTGAATTTTGTTGGGGTTTTTTGTTGATATATATGTGGTTTTATATATGATAAATACCATTCAGGACAGTTATTTTGCTAGAAGTGACATTCTCAAATACTTGCCAGGCTGTCACATTAGCATACAGCTCACAGCCAGGCAGGAAACATGAATGGAACCTCTGCTCTGCCCTGTGATGACACAAATAACACAGGGTCCCAAAGGTTGCCTTGTCTGCCAGGCAGAGAGGGAAATAAGAGATTCTGAGAACAAAGTCAAGAGAGCAGCATAGAGAACTTGCAGGGGAAGAGAAGGGGATAAGTAAAATCCTTTCTTTGTACTACCTGCACCAAGGACATAAACAGAAAAGGATGAGAAGTAGACCAAGTTAAAACTGCTCTAAGTGCTGTCATCCCCAAAGAGTTGCAAAATTCTTGTGCCCCCAAATCTTACATAGATCTAAAAAACATTGAGAGAGTGAAGAAGATGGTTATCATCTGTATAAGTATTGACCCCATGGGTAGCCCTCCTTGGTTATCCAAGGAGTAGAGAAATAATGCCACATGAGACATATTAACATCATGGCTATAATGCCATATTCCTTTTCCCAGTATAGAGGTAAGGAGATGTATGAAAGACCTTGTGTACATGCAGATTTTAAAGTAACATTGCTCCCACATTTTTCCAAGCTCCCTTCTCCTTAGCAACAGCCAAGTCTCTAACACAATTGTGTTGCCATTGACTATGTTGTCATGCTGATCAGAGGGGAAAAAAGCCACATCAGATGTGCTCATATTTTATTTTACTCAGAGGTCTGAAGCTGCAGTCTGCTATTGGGTGGACTCCATGAGACACCTAGGCTGTGGGCTTGAGAGAAAGTGCTGTAAAACCAAAAAGTGCAGAGCAGGGAGGAAGTAGGGAAGGAAGGGTCTCAGAATTGTGGAGGGTGAGGGACATGCTGCAGAGTCATGAAAATGGTCATGAAGATTAGAAATATATTAACCATAACAGAATTCTGTAAGATAATAATATACTTTTCTAGTCCAATTATTTAGTTGTTACTACTAGGGAAAAATTAATCAAAATATCAGAAAAGCCATTTGTACTATACTAAGCTCATGGAAAAATGTGGGCAATAATTTGAGAAACTGTTAAATGAAGATAAAATTATGTCCTTCTGCTTTGGAACAAGAATTACCAGATGAGCTTTAGAAATTGCATCACTGCCAATGGAAGAATGTGATTTATGCACTGCTGAATTACATTTCTTTTCATTTTAAAAGTCTTGGTTCTGTCTGATTTAACTTCTGATTTGATCTGTGTGGATAGAGTTTGGATGTATGTCCAGACAATAGGGCTGAGCTGATGCTTCAGAGGGACGTGAGAAATACCCAACCTAAATCCAATAGATAAAAACAAAATGTGTATCAGAGAAACGAATTGTGCATCAGGGAGACTGACTCCTTCCTGAGCCCTGTGAACTGCTGGGTGAAGAATGTGCTTTGATTGGGATTATTGCCTTAATGCAGACCTTCAATTCTTATGGGCCTCATGAGGGCAATGCAGGAAAGCTGCTCTGTGATGGATGAAGTGAGGGGTATGAACTCTTGTATTCATACAGTCACATCATACATGAGCCTACATTTCAAGGAATTGGGAGATAATTAAGGAGATAAGCCATGACTGCTAATTATGCTACGTACAGCTCTTTTTCCTTGATAGATAAATCCAAGTTTGGAGATTTGTTTGAAGGTTTTTTGTTTGGTGGGTTTGTTCTGGCTTTTTTCCAAGCTGATACATTATGAATCTATTGCTTATAAAACTTTTAAAGTTTCTATTGTAAAACATTTAACATCTGTCAGAAAAATAGTTATTTGTTTATACAGCCTTTAATATTATAATGTATATATGGTTGTCAATATTTGAGGTAATCATTATTATAAACAAGAGCACAAAAAGAGAAATGCTGTGATAGTTCTCCAAATGATGAAAAGGGAAAGTGTATGTACTTTTTATTTCTAAAAATCAGATTGCATTATCTTGCTGTAGCCACTTTAAAGGTAAGACAGTTTGCTTTCAAAATGTTGGATGAATCACACAAGTCACTATCACATCATGACTTCTCCGACCATATGCTCCCTCACAAGGCCACTCCTGGTCCTCATCCAACAGCAGTGTGCAAAAAATTGGCATGACATACCTTGTCAGGTAGGTTTCTGTTCATTACCACCACATTGGATTGCACTTAAGCTATTCCAATGTTTGCTTGTAATTTGCTAGGTGAAACAGGGTGGCCTCTTGCACCACCCTTCTGTGGAAAAAGGGAATTAATGAAATCTGTAGAAAGCTGTAAAATTAGACACTTCTTTCAGCATCAGAGAACTGTGGTCACTAGGATTCCTTTTGGAAAATTAAGAAAGGAAAAGTGGTAGAAAGAGTTGGTTCTTGGAATGGGTGAGTCCTGACTAAGATAGTCAGAGGAACTGCCATCTCTGAGAAGAAAGGGAAAATCCATACAAGATTATTTTTTAAAGGAAACAGGTACAGTTGTGAGGAGATATGAATAATTTATAAAGATTAAAGTCTAGGCTTCAGAATGTACTTACAATAAGACAAGTCTTAATCTGAATCCCCTCAATTTGTGGTATGGTGTCTTGCAGCAGATAGCAAAACATGCTTGTTCTAAATTTTATGAAACAATAATTATAGTAAGTAAATGCAGTTGGCAGTGGTTGAAATACTAATAACACACTGCATTTCAAACATTTCTTTAAGCTGACCTCAGCCTGTTATTCTACTGCTAGAGACAAACCTCACGCAAATTGCATTTTTCTACTGCTGGAATGTTCTGACATTTCATATTGGTACCAAAATTAGGTGTAATTCCTAATAATTTATTCACCAGAAGGTTTGCTATTATCAGCTTTGTTTATGTCAGATGGAGATTAAAAAATAGTTCTGTTACTTGCAAACTGCTGTGCAAATTTCATCTGCTTTATTAGATGTCATTATCTTGTAAGAATTGCATGAGATTCTTTTCATAGCAGAAAAAATTAACCAAATATAATATGGGACTTATATGAATTTTTTGATTTTAATTGACAGAACCTTATTTATATCTATTATATCTGTAATATACTATAAGCTTTCTGTTCCACTTTCAAGAAATGTTGACATAAACCTTCATGCCCAGAAAGGAATAAAGCTTGTGAGTGTAATATATATACATTCTGTATATTTAGCAGAAAACATGTAAGGAATTTTAAAATTTATTTTTAATTTTGCAATACGCCATGCAGTGCTTTTGGCTGCACTGATTCATAATGTTGAGAACTCAGAGACAAGTTTATTAGGAAAACACATATATCCACTGCATCACTACTCTGTATTAAGTAGTGTAAGATCACTTCTTAGCTCTTATGAAGATGTGCTGTTTGACATTTTAAAGAGATTGAAGTATGTGAGTAGCTCTAAGCTATTCCTTTTAGATACTGTTTTGATAATTGTCTTTTTCTTTATGACATAGCTCACTGATCCTCAGTTTTATTTGTTTCAAAGGATGGGGGCATGTCTCTTAAAATGCACTATTTCTACTTTAAAAAATGAAAATAATAAAAAGATAAATAATTACACATCATAAAGTTCAAGCTACTTGCTGGCCTCTGGATGGAACTCCTTCCTTGTGCACAGCATTGCCCTTTTTCAGTGCTAGGAAATGTACAATACACTACTTGTAGCCACCACAGAAAAGATACAGAGAATCCAATTAGTTTCTTTCCCTGTGTAATTTAGGAGTTACATTCATTAGGTGATTAAAATTCAGATAGATCCATAATTACATTTATTAACATACAAATTCATTTACATTTCTTATTTATGACCTTGCACATTGCTGCTTGATCACCAGTGGTAGAAGAAAATGTAGTTATATGTTAGTTTATAATGAATTTGTTCTTGCTGGTAAGCACTGGAAATGTGATGCAATGTTTTAATTTCAAACACTGCAAGAGAATTTTAAATCCAAGTAATTTATTTATTATAGCAAGCCTCCTGAAACCTGGAAACTTTTACTTTAATTTTTTCATTCAAAAACTAGAGTTTATTCATTCAAATT